CCAATATCATAAGAATTTGGTGGTTCAGACGATGATTTTTGAACAGTTTATAGTTATAGTTATAGTCACTCATCAGTGGCAAAATAATATTTGCAATCATAACCATAAACATCCTTCCATCTTCCAAGCACCCATGTGGTGTTGGGATATTGCTCAAGTTTCCAATAGGTACCATCAACCTTGATTTTCCTCGTATAGCCAATCCCTTCCTCCATAGGCTTCCTTTCTAGGATTTGTTTTTTGAGAACATCACGGAGGGTTTGATGTCTTCTAGTGCTTTTGAACATTTCTGCTCAAGGAAAAATTTCAACCTGACATTCTTATTCGCGAAATTTGTGCTTTCCTTGGATGAGGGGTTAGTAACCAGAGTAGCATTTGAAGAACTTGAGATAGTAATATCAGAAGCATTTGGTGATTCACACAATGAATTAGCATTCAAGTTCAACGCACTTTGAGCACAGAGGAACAAATTTATCTTGAGAGACACTAATTTGCCGAGCAAGAAAGGAGTGATTCTCAATCCTTAAATCATCAGGAGGCAGTATCATATTTTCGAGATCTTGCTTTCTTTTGAGGAATTCAAAATCAAGCTTCTCATGATCAAATTAAAAGAGCCTCATGACGAGAGAAGAGTTCTTCAAACTTTGATAGTAGAAGCTTATGTTTGTTAGTCAAGGTTTGTTTTTTTGGACCATATAACAATGTCGCCCGTTTCAAAAGCAACAGGCATGGGATATGTGAGTCAGTGCGATTTGCAGGACGGTGAACTGGTGCAGCAGTGCAGGGCTGCAGGCCACATTTTTTTTGAACACTTCTTTTCAATTGCACAATTCAGCGCGTCTCGGAGTCAGTGTATGAAAGGGTAATATTAGATAGCCAATGGGAGTAATTTAGTGAGGACGCTTGACGTTTGAGAAAGTCGTTATCTAAAGTGCTGACCAACGTTTCCAATCTGACAGTGGAGTCAGACAAAACAATGAAAGAAAACTGTCCTACATGTGATGTGTGTCCCCTTTCGTGGCTCTCGGCAAAACCAGTTGCTGTCGCTGGCATCTTCTTAGGACTGGCCAGTCGTATAATCTTCACGCCATGCCTGTCTATCCCCGTTGAAAAAGAAAGTAAAGGGACACAAGCCTTTCGTTTGGAAGGTCATACCCGCAAGTCGACCTCCAAAGAGGCAGAGGGAGCGCGTAGGTTTAGGGTTAGTCACTGTCTTCCTCTTGTGAGGCGAGCCCCTGCTCCCTAGGGTTTACCCGCCGCCGCCGCCGCGGCG